TGTATAGTAAAAAATATCTGTCGGAAAAAAGAGACTTTGATATATTTTTAAAATTATTATTATTATTAGTGTTGTTGTTGATGATGATAATATATAAGTTACAAATAATATGATAAATATTTATTAATAATATTATAAATATTTAATAGAAAAATAATTAAAAATAAAAATATATTAGTAAATTATTATTATATTTTTTAATATATATTTTATATTATAAATATAATATTAAAAAAATACTATTATCATAATACTATTTTTTTTCATTTTCATTTATCAACTATACTATATCATTGTTGAAGTTAACTAGATATACATTTATTTTTTATTGGATCGTTAATTATATTTATTTACTTTCAATTTTTTTTATTTTAATTTTTCTCAAAATTTGTAAATGCAGATTTTGATTTTATCTATATATTTATTTTTATGTAAAAAATTATATAAATATTAATAATGATAATAACTAATAATAAATACAAAAATAAATTGATATATTGAAGGATAATATAATAAAAATTATAAAATTAAAAATATTAATATACAAAATAGTATTATGTACATTACAATATTTCTATATTATTAATATTAGTATTATTTATTAATATTAACTTTATTTTATAAAAATGATTATATATAATAACTTTAATTATTAATATATTATTTTTATATAACTTTTTTTTTATCGAATTATATTTATAAAACTTGTATTTACATAAGTTTATATAGTTACAAAAATTAATAAAAAAATTATTCTATAATTCTACCAAATTCATATAAATTCTTTAAAAAAATTTAATCAAATTTGTAAAAAGTCATCAAAATCAATTAATAAAATCCATCAAATTCTAGATGAACTCTATAAACTCTCTAAATCCACGATAGATTTTTTAAAATCTAAAAAAATCAAATGAAATTATAAATGAATATCCCCTTAAACGTGTTGGGGACAATTACTATGGCCTAGGGGTAGGATGCACACATTGATTTTTTCTTTCTATTTTTGAAATTTTAAAATATATTCCATCTGTCCCAATTTAGAATATATTTTTGTACTATTTTCGTTCGTCCCATTTCAAAATATTTCTTTCATTATTTTAAAAATGTAATCATATACTATTACCAAAATATTCTTTACTTTTGATTTAAATTACAAAAATATAAAAAACTCTTACACACATTCACTGACTAGTAAAATATTATTATTTTTTAATTTATTACAAAATTTCAAAAGACCTAACGGAGGGAGTTCAATTTATGGACAGTTTTGCAAGATACAGTAAAATAATTATTTGATATTTTTAATAATAATAATTTAATAAAATATATACAATATATATGTCATTATGTAGAAAATAAAATTTTATATAATAATATAAATAAATAAAATATTAATATATATTTATAATTAACACAACTTAATACTTCCCCTGTCCCGATTACGGTGTCCCGTTTACTGTAGACATAAGAATTTATAAGGGATATAATTAATAAATAATTAAGAATATATTAGTAAAAATAATTATCGTATAATAAAAATAATTTTAGATTAAAATAACTAATTATTCCTAATTAAAATTTTAAAAATTATAAATTAATATTTTTTTAAATGAAATTAAAGTGTATAATTTTTTTCAAAAAAGAAAAGTAAGAAAATGAAAAAATGGAAATGATAAGTGGAACGGAGGAAGTATCATAAATTGAATTATAACAAATAATTATTTTACTGTAATTTTAACTATGTGTTTATTTGATGTTTTGAATATATAATAAATTTTTAGTTTAATATAAAAAACTAAAAATTAAATTTATGTTTTTTGAAGAAAAAAATTACAAATAGTTAAAATACATCAAACAAACACATCCTATATTGTTATAATATATATTCAGAAAAAAAAAAAAAAAAGCAACAAAAAAAACAAAATTTACCAAAAAATTTAAAAGATTATGAATTTGTAGAAGCCGAATTGAAATTGAATTTTAACAGTTTGGTTTTGAATTGTGTTTTTGCTAGCCAACCTCATTCAATTTTTTTTTTTTTTTTTCCGCAATTATGTTATATTTTTGTGTTAATTTTAATTTGCATTAAAATATTGTTAATTTTAAAGACATTGTTGCATATACAAATTAGTATATACAAAGTCTTTTCGACCGTTAGATAAAATCGGTTGGAGTACTCACAAGGGTTCCCTAGGGTACTTAAAAAAAATCTCTAGGTGATTTTTTCGTGACTGCAGAAATAAGGATTGATAGAATATCCTTCGATTGGTTGAAAGAAAAAAAATGTAAAAATAAATTTTTGTTAGCGGTAAAAGAAACTAAGAAATATCAAAAGAAAAAAAGAGAAAAAAAGTAGAATACTAAAATATAAAAATACTAACAAAATTAAAATAAAAAATGAAAGATTAAATTGGTTGGAGACTTTTTTTTGTTCGCCGTGCTACTCTTTATATAGCTTTGATAGGAAACTCCCCTTCCTTGAACGTCCATCATGATCACTATCATTATAAACTATGTAAGCCCCGTAAATGTTTGAAATCCCTTTATTCAAGATTATTGTTTTTTTTTTTTTTTCTTTTTTTGAATGATATGAAAATTCGCAACTACTATCCGAAAGTGCGCATTGGGTAAACTTCTAGCTGAACCTAATACATCTGCAAACTAGGTCCGACAAGCAAGTCACACTAAATGAATCATGTGTGACCCTTCATTCAAGATTATTACTTGCACTTATGGATTATGCCTCTAAGCTTTTAGTTGTTGGGACTGGTCAACTTAACACGAGTATGATATTGTCTACTTTGAGTTGAGCCCGCACGGAGTGTGGAATTTTCTTCGCCCTCGAGCCCTGGGCCGGATCTTTCCCTGTTGTTTTGTTCCCGCCACGAGAAAGACGCACGGAAGACAACATTTAATGTGAGACTTGAGTTTGTACCCAACGATCCTTCCCTCAAACCAGGATCAACCAATGGGGTCTTTTCTGCCCACCTTCTACCGCCTATCAAAAGGACCTGCTACTTGACCAACCACAATTATCAGGACCAATCCAACATCAGGAAACTTTCGACACAAAGCACATCCGCAGGTCATAAGAGCGAGCCCACCACCACAACTAATGTCAATGCCATGCAGTCCACTTCAACATCGAACCAGACTCTGATACTAATGTTGAGACTGGATCAATTCAATATTAGTATGATATTGTCCGCTTTGAATTGAATTCGGATTTATTTTTTAATTTTTTCTAAAATACCTCGTACTAATGAAGTGTATTTGGAACTTAGGTGTGAAATTTTATTCACAACATTCAACGTGGACTTGAGTTTGTACCCGACATTACTAACATCCGAAACACCACCTCCCACAATGATTTGTTCATCTCATTATTGTCCACTCCCTCATCCTTTAATAAGTCGATCTTTTTCTTCTTCAATGACTCATTAAAAAAAATATGACCCATGGCTATTGAATTTCATGCATAACGAGGAACTTCCCAAAAAGTATTGAATTTATTATTATTTCACCTTTTTTTAATGAAAATTCTTTTTAACTTTCAGTTTTTTTTTTAATTGCTCTTTTAAACCTCATTGGTATCCCAGTTACCATTGTGAGTTATGAAGCTATTAAATGCCTTATCATATATCTCTTCGTCCCCTTCAGTGGGCCACTGCTCTTTCATTCTTTGGGCTCCCTCTAAGCTGGCCCAACCTACTTTTCTGGACTTTTCACAAACACCATTCTTTTGGGCCCAATATATTCTTATTTCTCTCAATTCTTTGCAAGACTGGATTTTTCATCGCAACCTGAGCCCCCTTTTGCTGGGCTACAAATCATTCAGGCCTAATTTTTTTTATTATGGGTGGCTGCTTTTTCTATTACTTAGGGCTCCACGGTCTGGTCTCAATGGGCTTTTCAACAAATAATGATTTTTTGAGCCTAATTCCTTGTTATAACAGACATAACACTTTGTATGCACATAAAATTACTATTTCATATGTTCTCTTGTCCTACATAATAATATACTATTATTAGTGCTTTTATTTTACTATCAAAAATTCAAAAAATAAATAAATAAATAAAAATTGTACTTATACTTAGACACTTTGATTTTAATATTAACATACTTAATTTATCCAAAATTAATGAAAAAGTATAAAATTCACCCTGTTTAGGGATTCTGTTAATTTTTGAATTATAACTGTAATGGTAACTAAAAAAAAAATTTCGTTGGATCAGGTGTCCAAGCAATATTTTGTACTTTTTGTAGGTAAAATTAGAAAAAGTATATAGCAACTTCATTTGAGAGAAAAAGGGAAATGATAAAGAGAGGAGAGAGAAGAAGAGAGAGAATGAAAGAATAGAAGAGATAACCAAAAGAGAAAGAGAAGAGAGGGAAGAAAATGTAGAAAGAGAAAAAGAAAGTGAAAGAAAGACTTGAATTAAGCTTCACCTGCACCCAACAGTGATCAAGTTCTTGTATTTTTTTCAATCAAAATAAAAGCCATTATATTATATTTTTTGAAAAGCCCTAAAGACACTATCTATCTATAATAAAGTCATTACAATTGCTCTAAGAGCATACACAATAGCTAAGTCTTAATTTCTGACACCAAACTTTAACCAAAAAACCACACACAGTAGCTTGTCATCTTCTTAAATTTCTCTAATAATACGTAACTATGAAACTCAGCCACCACTTCAATTCAATGTCATAAGAAAAGGTACTCAAAATCATACTTCAACAATAATCAAATTCTATAATCCATTGTAAAACCCCCAGCCAGCGGCTTTATTTCATTTCCTGCAATCCAATCTAGGTTCATCTTCATCCATGTAGTACTACTCTCAAGAAATCTTTTTAGTTCATGTTCCAAAAATGGCTGCAATCCTTAGATCTTACAGGGCTTATAAATAACAAAATTAGATCTTACAGGGCTTATAAATAACAAAAAGGAAAAGTCACACAGACTAAATAGCCACAAGCCCACAACTTAAATAAATGTCTATCAAATTTGGGTGTAAAATATTCAAATGACATTAAAGGAAACAACCCTCAAGTCTTCCATTGTCAAAATTAAATTAAATGGCCACTGAATTCTAAAAATCCGATGAAATGTTGCAGCTCAATATCTCTCTCAATCAAAACTGTCTAAAGAAAACAATTATCGAAAGCATACTGAATGGAAGGGTTTTCAATACTTGCACTTTCCTTCAAGCACCGTCGCAGTCGACTGCATCTCAGTGAGATTTCACGTACTCCTGAACAATGTGGAGGCCCTCGCTTTCCTCTCCAAAATCCTACAAGAGAAAAATCAATGTGGGTATATTGTTCATCACTTGCAGGCAGTAGCTGTTCGACAAGAAAATAAAAAAACTAAGGAGTTTGATTACTACCTTCACGACAACACAGGAGGCTCCGACAACCTTCCTAGCCTTTCCTTCAGAATCAATCTTGCACAGCTGCAAAATCACCATTCAACACTACAATCAAATAATATCTCAACACATCCTACAACACAAAGACAACTGGCTCAAGATGATCCGTCATCACCATTGTTGTCGGGAGGCCAAATCAAAGACATAAAACAATATGGCATGCACAATATCATTGTCGCTTCGAGATTACATAAAAATCAGAGAGCACTTACACCAGCCCATTCCCCAAGAGTCTTTGCGCTTGGAACAGTTACTAGGTTCACATTGTGGTCGGCACACAGTGCTTTAACCAGTTTAACATAGTCCGCTTGGTTGCAATCGTCTGCTAACACACACAGCTGCGCAGCATGCTTCTCAATCGCTTTTGCACCCTCATGAAGGCCTCGAACAAGACCTCCATGGGCCAATGACTTTTTGAGCACAAGCTGTAAGGCAGTCATTATATCCATTGGCTCACCAAGAACAGGGGCAGAAGCAGCCTCCACAGCTACAGGTTCTTCACTGCAAAATCATCGCTCCCGATTAATAGATGGAAGTGTTTGAATTTGGAGGCAATGAACTTTTATCACAGGAAATTATATCAGAATTCATAGAAAAATCACAGTAATTCGAAACGCAATATATACAGATTAAATTTCAATTTCAATTTCAATTTCTACAAGTAAGAAGTTAAAATCTGACATACCCAGCCATTATCTGTAATCGATCAAAGATCCTTCAACCAGAACTGCATCAAACCAAACATTACAGATAGAAATCAGTAAACAAATATGGCGATTATATCTGTGTACCACTTCAGCCAACAATCAAACTCAATTGGATGTTTCAAAACAGAAATTAGACATTTCGAAATACAACACGGAGCAGCATACGGAGAAATTGATGACTTTTTCTCGGCAACTAAATCTACAACCTTTCAAAATAACGCGAATCAAGCAAACAATTTGAACCGATAATAGAGAAATTATAAAACCACACAATCAACAGGCCAAATCACAACATAAAAAATAAAAAAAGAAACAGAAAATCCAAACAAATTCAACAGACGTACTGCTTCCAATCCCTCCGCAAAGAGTAGCGAATACACACCTGTAGAAGAAATCTCGCAAGACAAAGCAATGGAGGGTGCAGCTTTAGCCTGTATGAGCTTCGATTTAGGTTATGGACGACTATTTATAGCAATAAATTCCTACGGCTCTAAAGCCAAGCCCAGCCCAACCCAGTTTGTGAATGATCCGATTAATGCTTCAACAATGAAGACTTTGTTTGGGTAAAAATAGAAAATGTAAATAAATAATTCAAATTCAAATAAATAAACTAAACAAAGTTAAGGCATAAATTTCAAAAAACATGTAGTATATATTTTTTCATTCGTATTATAAAGTTATTGATATGTTTTAAATAAATATAAGTTTTTGAATATTTTACACTAAAGTATTCAAAGTTAGATAATTTCAAAATAATTTCTAGAATATTTTATAGTATTTTGGAAAATTGAGTAATCTAGACAATTGTAAATCATTAATTTCTATCATTTAATTGAATTAATTTATGTAGTACAATGCAAAGGTAGAGTAGTATAAATAGTATTTGATTATTTCCAAAGTTTCAAAATCATTTTTAACATTTTTTTGCTTAGTAATATTTTTTTTAAAAGTTATTATTATTATTAATAATTTAAAAATAAAAAAATAAAAAAAATATTAAGTAAGCGAATTAAAATGACACATTTATATGATTTGTAAAAAAAATTAAAAAAAAAAAAAGAATTCTTTTATAATCTAAAACAAACGTGCACAACTAATTCATGTGTCACGGTTGCGGCTACAAAAAATTCCGATTTTGATTTGTTGGCTTCTTTATTTTTATATCTTAGGGTTTAGTGTGTATGTATAAAGTTTTTTTTTGTTATATGATTTGAAAATTTTATTTGATTTAGTTAGTGAATATTTAAAAAAAGATTTAAATTTTAAATATATATAGTTTTGTTATTATTTTTATATATAGTAATATATATATATGTGATATATGATTACTTGTAATATATAACAAAGACTATTGACTTACCAAATGATAAATTGCCGTGCAGATCTCTTATTAACTTGAAATTTTTTTAATATAGAATTAGTATGTATTAATAATGCATATTTGATATGAAAATAACAAAATACAACAAAATATGAGAAAAATGATATTAAATTTTATGAAGTATAATACAATAAATTAATCAATATAAAATAACAATAGCATCAAAAGATCCATATTAGGAATCAGTGTAAAATACATCTATTTTATTTCTGGTGTGTTATTTAGCATCGGAATACCAAACATTCTTGAGGGTGTACATGGAAGATTGGACATAAACTATAGAAATTGATTATTACAAATATAGTTTTGTTTTCAAAAATTATTTTCAAACATAAGTACTTGCTTGAAATTATTAACAATAAAATCAATATTATGAGAATAAAAGATTACATCCAAACCTTTGAAAAAGAAAGTAAGAAGGTGGACATGGATCTTAGAATTGCCAAACTAAAATATAAAAAAAATTTACATATTGCATATCCCATTTCATCGTGTGTTCCTGTCTACCTTTTTATAAAAAAATGATCTTACAAAGTGTACATATCGTCATATCAATGAAGGAATAAGAAAAATTGAGAGAGCGAAATTTTCAGGTGATTATCATATATAACAAGCATATATATCATCATTTTTTCATCACATGCTCACTGGTTCTTAGAAGTCAATCAAAACAAAAGAATAATGGTGTCCCCTTCTACCGTCGTAGTCATCGTCATTAATCAACAGTAATAAATAAAAATTTCTTTGAAAATGAAAATTCAATCTTAGCATATCAAGCCCTAATAAAAAGGAAAAGGTGTTAAAACCAAAATATAAACATGATAGTGTCGATATGGTTTTAGAATGAATCCTGCACTATTCATAATATTTTTTCTTAAAAAAATATCAAATCAAATGTTAACGTGTGTCAAATATTTATTTACATCGTATTAAAAATTATTAAAAGAAAGAATATTTTACCAACTTATGCTTAAATAAAGAAACACCCCCTCTTCAAAAGCTCTTTATTAGCGAGTAAAGAGTTTGCAAAATACTCCCTCCGTTCCACATACCGTGTCTGCTATACTGTAGACACGGTATTTTAGGAGGGGTGTAATTAGTAAATAATTAAGAATGTATTAGTGAAAATAATTATCTTATAATATAAATAATTATAAATTAAGATTAAGATAACTAATTAGTTTAATTAAAATTAAAAAAAATAAATTAAAAAGTTTAAAATGAGATTAAGTATATAATCATTTTCCAAAAAAGAAAAGTGACATGGAATATAGGACGGACATAAACGGCAACGTGGACATGATATGTGAGACAGAGGGGGTACAAGTATCTGGATCAAATATTTCTAACTAAATTCACAAACTAGATGGCCCTCCTCACTCATAAATCATAACATGTAATAATGACAATAAGAGAGAAATAAAGTAATAAATAGTGACGAAATAGTTAAAACTAAAATAGAGTCTTCGTCATTTCTATACCAAACTATATATAGTATGTTCATTAACACTCTTGGGAAAGTTTCCAGTGAATCACTCATCTTCAAATTATTTTATGGTAAGCACGCTTAACTCTAAAGTTTTTTCAATAGGGTTTCCGAAAAAAATGTGCACATTGTTGACATGACTAGTCTATTTAATCCACTTGATTTCTATTTCCTCTTGAATGGCCTGGCACCAGTGTATTCACGGGAGTTAGCATAACACCGATCCAACTTCGAGAGTATTACATGTCAGCTCTGCCCACATTTTCCCAATGCTTAGCTCTTTCTTGTCCATGTATAAAGCCCCAACCTATATACGACTTAGCAAAGAAGAACGTCTATCCATTTTTATAAATTTACACATTAGACAAATTATCAACTTCATAAAGCATTTAAAATGAGGCATATCAATGGGAAGAACATTTCATTTAGGGATGTCAAATGGGGCGGGTTAGCCCCGGACCCGGTCTTAATGGGACGGGTTCGAGTCTAAATAATTTGGTTTGGGGCTAGTTGTGGATTTTGAGTTTTAGACCCGACCGGGTTTGGAGTGGGTTACGGGTTTTACTATAAACCCGCCCCACCCCGGACCCGGACCCTAACCCGGATATTTTAATAATTAGTATAGTTTATTTATATTTTTATACAATATAAATTATATTATTTATTTATTTAAAAAAATTTAAATATAAAATTGAACCTTAATTCTAAATCAAATTTATCTTCGCATTTATTTCTCCTACAATTCTCTTTATAATCGGGACTAGACCTCAATCACTACGGACTATCGTCGATATTTGATTGTTCTTATTTTTAAAATTATAATTTTTTGTTACTTTGACGCATATTTCTTTTAGTATTAAATTATTTTTTTTTAAAAAATTTATTTTATTTTATGTTTTTTATTTTTTAATAAAAACATCGGGTTGGCCCCGAACCCGGAGGGGTTGGGGCGAGACGGGTCCCGGGGCCGGATTGAAACGGGGCGGGACGGTTCTTGGGTCCTAATATTTTCTAGCGGGCCGGGTCTTAGAGCCTACAAAACCTGTCTTGAACCCGCCCGTTGACATCGCTAATTTCATTTATATGATCAAGAATTATAACTTCACACGTTAGAGAAATTATCAATGTCATATAGTTCAAAGTTGCAAATCACATAATTCAGGCAATTTGACAATCCAAGTGAGTTTGAAAACTATAAACAAATTTGTATTAGATGGAATGATATATATGTTAGTGCATTGGTTCGTGGGAAAAATAAATTATATTATAAAAAACTTATATTAAAAACAACCGTATAATAAATGAAATACCAAAATATTCAAAGTAAAGATCAAACATCTGGTTTCTTCTATATACATGTTAATTCAACGGTGAATTAGGCTTAAATCTCTCTGCATTAGGTTGATTTGAGATTCAGTTCCCAATTATAATACCTTTCTCTGAACTTCATCATATTTCATTCTTCCTTCTTCTCGCTCCCTAAATCGATTATTTCGCTTATTCTTCGTTTTGTTTTTCTTCGTGCAAAAATCCTCCTCAATCTGTTGAGTCCTCTTCCGTGAGCTCGAAAACAACCTCTCGCCTAGGTCATCCAGGTTCCAACAGTGTGGAAATTTCACTTATCTCCCATTCTTCCACTGTCCGGGTGGTTTTATACCACCGGTTGTCGTCCGGTTCGATTGAAAAACTCCCTAGGGCACTCACCGGCTCCGGTTTCTTGTTGTCGGCGCTCGGTTGATTTGGTCGAAGAACTCCCAAAGACTGTCACCGACAATCTCCAAATCGACACTGCTCTCTAGTTGGCCCGGGTCCACAGTCGCCGTCCTTGGATCGTCCTCCGCAGTGGTCGGTCTTCCTTGTTCTCCGGTGAAATTAAAGTTGAGTATTTAACATGTGTGTTTTTGTATCGATATCATTTGGATTAGTTAGGAAAATTTTATTTGGGAGAAAGTATTTGGGTATTATTTTGGGTGATTTTGATAAAAAAATTTGTTGCTATTTAGGGTTTAGGGGGTAATATTTATCTTGTGAAATGGGTAATTTGTTGCTATTGAGGATCAAGACATTACTAGAATTCCGTAAGAACATATGATTTTAGTGTATTCAGTGTAAGATTGTTGAATCGCCCATACGACCCAATATGGTTCATACATCCATTGGTTGGATCGTTAGGTTCCGATGGATATGGAGCAAAGCAGTTTGAAATTATTGATTATATGATCGTACGAAGGTGAACATCATATAATTGGTTTAGAAGAGGACACCACACTAGAAGATCTTTACCGGAATCTATCGAAAAGATGGAATAAGGTGAGTATTGAGGCGGTAAAACTCCAATATATTGCACCTATTCAGAAAAGCCACGTGACGTTATTATGTGACGATGATGTCGCCAATATGTGGAGAATGCATATCTTGTTAAAGGTAATGTTTGTGGATATGATTGCACGGTGTAGGAGCGAGCATCAGAGCGTGCCTCCCCGAAGCACGGTTGGATGCAAGTATGTTACTTATCTTTAATAATTAAGTAGTCTTTATTCATCTTTAATAAATTCTTTTGTAGAATGCAGTTATAATTGTGCCTTATGAAAGAATGTAGCTTGTAAGCACTTATGTATTCATATTCAACACATCTAAATACATGTTGTTTATATACACTTTTAGCTGGTATAATGCATATATCCTTGAATTTTGATATGTAAAATTGGTAAGAAGCCACTTACTTTTTGTTTATCGGTTACATTAATAATAATTTTTTCATGATATTGGCATACAACAACACCCTGGTATTTTGTTGCGATGTTGTCTGTTTCAAAATTGAGAACGAAATGGTAAAACCCCCAAAATCCTTATTTTTTGAAAATTGCCCACATACAAGGCTGTTGAGAACAAAGTCTTGTGTTTGTTCTTCACCTTCATTCTTTTCTCCATCAGAAACCGTCCTCGACGATGAAGAAAATAGTCTTGTAGAAGCTCGGCATCAAAGTTCACACTTGTCGACAAGGGAGGAGAAATGAAGAAAAAAAAAAGAAAGAAGGAGAATAAATACCTTAGTCTCCGTCAAAGTGGCATCGTCTGCACCAGATGCGATCAATTATAACCTGAGATTTTTATGTCAATTTTAAGGGCGTTGCGGAGAAGTTTTTTTGAGCTACGAAAGTTAGACAGTCAGATACTCAAAAGAAGAGTTTGTAAAGTGAGCTAGTGTGTTCGCTCTTAGAAATGAAAAATATCTTTGTCACTATTTTGAAGTTTTTCGTTGTTTATTTAGAATAAATTATATAACACTTCTTAATGTTTTTGTAAAAATGCATAAAATACCCTATATTTTATTTATTGCGTGAAACCCTCTTATGTTAATGTAAAGTTTGCACGAAACACTCCCTTGTCCAAAAATGATTATTGGTTCTAAATAAAGACCTAAATTACACAAATTTTATACAAATAAAAAACGTAAAATATGTTAAATAATTTATTTGAATAAAATAAATAAATAAATAATTGATTAATTATTCATTTTATAGTTTTTTGAAGACAAATTGTTATCATATTTTTACAAATACTATAAAAATAAATAATAGATCAATTATTTATTTATTTATTTTATTAAAAAAATTATTTAAAATATTTTACTTGTATAAAACTTGTGTAATTTAGGTCTTTATTTAGAATCGAGGGTGTTCTGCAAATTTTACAAAGGAGTTTCACGCCAATAAATAAAATATAAAGTATTTTGTGCATTTTTATGGAACTGTTATATAATTTACACATTTATTTAACCCAACAAGAGTATCCGACTAGAATTGATGCTCCATCCATCATTTCATTTCAATATTATGGTTTGTATGATGCAGTATATATATATATATATATGTGCATTTGTTCGGAGGTTTGGATTTTGGCTTGAATTTAAATAATAAAATTTTTAAATTTGAATAATTGTATGATTTAATATAAATAATTATTAATTTGATATTGTGAATATAAATTTAATTTTTAGTATAATATAAAAAATAAATATTTAATTTAATATTTTTGAGTGAAATTCTTTTATAAATAAAATTTTACAAAATCTTTAAAAAGATCACACCATTTGGGTTTAACCTGAAAGGGTTTTAGTTCAATTAATATATTAAACATTTGGCTATGACAGACAATTATTTGATTAGTTTATATTCTATTTAATAATTATATTTTTTTAATTTATACGGACAGTTTCTAGAATAATGATCTATAAGAAATTATCTTATTCTTTTGTCATTTTATTTTATTGGGTTAAAATAAAAAATAAAAATATTTGAGCAATCAAATCAAGATTATTAACTCAATAGATAACCGCTGTTATTGAATAGTAAAAGTAAACCTCTGTATTTAGAAACTTCAAATAAGGAAATATGAATTCAACTGCTCCCTCCCTCCAGCGAAAAATGATCAATTTTGTTAGAGATACGATATCTTATGTAGTGTAGGTTATTAAATTATGATAATATTTTATTATTTTATATATATATATATAATGTTGTTTGTATTTTAAATATTTTTATAATTATATCTCAATATTTATTTATTTATTTATTATTACCATAAATTAATTTTACTATAAAATGAGAAGTTTTAAAGGTAGATAAAAATATTTGTTAATCTAAGGGAGATAGAAATAAAAGAGTTTTGAGTTGGTGATGTTACAAGTTTAATTAAATTAATTTATATTTATTAAGTATATTTAAGATTGATAAACTTACCAAAAATAAAAATAATCATCTTTTATGAGATGTACCAAAAAAAAAAAAGTAAGATCATCGTAATAGAGGAAATATTTTTCAACAAGCTCAATAAACTTAGAAGATTCACTGTCAAGTTCAAGAGATATTAAAATTTAAAATACAAAACAAACATACTTAAGATTATAAAAAATTATTTTATAAATACACCTACATTTTTCTTTAATTAATATTCTTGGAATATTTCATGTAAAGAATAAATAGTTTATATAATATTATAATCTCTTAAACATAATTAAATTTACAATATATAGTGTATGCTACAATTATACATAAAATTTGTTTGATTTTGAGTTGAGTTGGAATATTAATTTAAATAATATTTTAATATAAAATTATATAAAAAATAATATATTTTTATTTAAAATCAGCCAATCATATAATTATTTTGTTTCGAAGTCAAAATTAAATACTCCTAATATATTTAAAAATATTTTACACTCTTCTTCAAATATTATTTTTTAATTGCGATTTCTAAAAAATAATAAACAATATAAAATATTTTTTTTTATAAAAATTAAAAAGTTAAATAAAAATTCAAATATTAATTAAAAATTCAAATAATCAACTTAAAATAACATAATTTCTTATATAAAGCACAAAAAATCAATCAATTGGTAACCGAGCCTTACATTCTTCTAGTATTAATAAATTATTTGATTTTATTGAATTTTGGATTGAGATTTGAATAGTAAAAAATTTGAATTGAAATGGTGGTATAATGTGATATAAATAAGTATTTATGTGATGTTTTGAATGTAAACTTGATTTTTAATATAATATAAAAAAATAAAAAAAGTAAGTATTTTATTTGATATTTTTGGAAAATTTTTTTTGTGTGAATAATAGAAATCCTCAAAAATCCTCCAAACAAACACACCTTATATTTATTACTCCCAATTATGCTAATTTTTTTAATTGTAGTTTATATACAATGTACTTATAATAAATATTTTATTTATTTATAATTTTATTATTTATATTTTAACCAAAAAATAATTAATTTTTCACTATCTTTTTTATTATTTCTTTAATAATTTATTTATTTATTTATTTTTTTTTTATTTTTTAATGATATCCTATTTTAGTATTTTATCTATACTACTTCTACGTCGAATTATTATTATTTTTTAGTTATCGTGTTAGTCCTTATTATTATTTTATTTATATTTTATAGTTATATTTGATTTATATTATTATTATTTGATTTATATTTTATAGTTATATTTGATTTATATATATATATTTTTTGTATTATGGAATATAAAATTTTATTATTAATATAAATATATTTTTATTTACATTTAAAAATATATAATTTTAATACAAAAGTATGAAGTGTAGGCTGTTAAAGATACATTTGTTGCGAGATGATCTAATACATCAAGTTAGCGGTGGCTGAGTTGGCAGGCCAAGAGCAAAAATCTCTCTAAAACCCAAGGGCAAAACCGTCATTTCACGTGTAACCCACAGCATTGCCTTTTACAAATCCTGTGTTCTTCCATTGACGAGTGTCGAGTGATGACCGAATGGTTTGTTTGAGCGCACACAGATTGACAGCAACACGATTCCTAGATTACGAATAATAGCAATAATCTGGATTTACATTAGCATCCGCATTTATCACACACGGAGAGGGAGAGTCTGTCTCTTTTATTTTTGGGTTTTTTTTTTTTTTTTTTGTTTTCCAATGAAAATCGGCAAAGTGATGAAAAGGGGAAGAAAAAGAGAAATTTTCAGTGTGTGAAAACGCGGATTTGAAACCCATGAATTAGTGGAAGTTGATGGAGCGAGGCGAAATCCGGGGTGGAGGTTTCTGAGCGGGGCTCTGCATGCACGACACTTTGCAAAGGCCTTCTTTATTCTTCCGTCAGCATTGGCTGTATCTGAGCTAGAAGTGGTTGTTTCGGTTGTTAGTAGTATTAAAGTCATTGATTGAATTGCGTTGTATGTAAGCTCGTCCGAGAGAGTTCCGTGGGTGGGTGTGGGTTTTCCCATTTTTACAATGAGTTTGATTTGTGTTTTGCTTTCGTTTCTTTAAATTTGAGCTGTTTTGCGTTTTCTGATCAGGCGAATTATACGGATGGGTTTATTTGGTGTCGATGATTCCTCACAGACGTCCATTGAGGCTGAGTTGGAGAGTATTGGGAAGAATCTTCGCGAGCCGGCCGCCCCTTTATCGACTAATGAATTGCTCGTCTTGCTTGAGGTATGGTCGCTTGCATTTTGTGGGCGGACACAAACACACACGCGCACATATGGTTTTGTGTAGTGTATCTCTTGTTTTGTATATCTCTGTGGTAATCTTGTTTCGTTTGGGAGGATAGGTATGTTGGATGTGTAGAAATTGTTTGATTATATTATGTTGTTGCAGGGAAACTGTTTGATTAAATGCCTCTGGGGTTTTTTTTATATGAATGTTTTGATGTGTTTGAGAAGGCTACTTTTTGGGAGATATTACAAAGATTGCTCCATGTTGGCTATACATTCGAATCTTAGATTGTTATGTATGAGGGTCTTCCATGGTTCTGATCAATGTATAGGCACCTTGGTTATTAAAACCTTACATATATTACTTGAGAGAGAATGATTCTCTTCAGTTTTAGTTATCTTTGCAAAGGGATAGATCCATTTTGTTTGTATGTAAGGGTTTCTTTTTGAAGCTAGTATTTGTTTTGGTTTCAGAATTTAATATGATTAATTCAAGAACTTGGAATGCAAACCTGTGAAATGAGCCTGGGGGAATGTTAGTGAAGCTCTTTCTCTTTTGATTTTCCTCATTTTTTGGGTCTGTTGAAGTTGTTACTCAAGTGGTACGTGGATGCTTTTTTACCTGTCTTGGTGAAAGTGAAACTTTGGTACTGTGATTGGAAACCGATTATCAAAGGTTAGCTATGTTCAATTTGTCAATTATAGGGTACATCCTGAAAATGTTTGTCCAAGTTTAGGAAATACTGTCAATTTAAGTTGCTGGTGCACTTGAGAGACGCAAACTTTCTGTTCTGTATTATGCTTTAGTGTACATTGCTTCTCAGAACATGTAAATAGTCATTTATTTTTGGTTAATTCAACTAATAACACTTTGTAATTAAGACGTTTCTGCCAGTTAAAGTTGTTTGCAGCTCTTTCTTAGGCCTATCTAAGCTATGTTCTGAGAAAAGCAGAACCTTTGTTTGTGTTCTGTGTTTATGATACTCTACTTGTGCCAGTCTGATATAAAAGGCTGCTGATTTGCGCAAAAGCCATCTTTTGATGGATCCTTGACTGTTTCAAAACTTCTTGTTTTCATCATTTTTTTATGATTGAAAGTGGTTTAGTAGCCTCTTGTATTACAATTCAAAATAGATTTTACATTGATGGGGGAGGAATGTGCATTTCTTTTGACATTTTTTTGGTCTGTTTTTTCAGAAAGCTGAGTGCCTTTTATCCCAAGTATGGCAGCGACCTCCTATGAGTACTCGTGATTCGCTTCTTCCATTAATGCAAGCACTGATGGGTGATGAGATACTGCAACATACTGATATATGCATCCAAATTGTCGTTGCTTGTTGTTTCAATGAACTCTCAAGAATAAGTGCTCCAGACGCACCTTTTCCGGATGAAAAAATGAGGGTATGCTGATGAAATCAGTGTTTTATAAAATAAACAACCAAATACATCCAATCCTTTAACACTCATTCCATTCACAGATGCAATTTGCACTTAAACAACCTACTGATCTTTGATTTCTGGTGGCAGGTATTTTTCCGACTATTCATGGTTGTATTCCAGCAATTGCCTAACAGGTCTGAGGAAGATTCTAATAGAGCTCTGAAGATTATTGAAACTATGGCCAAAGTGAGATCTGGCTTGATGCTACTGGACATAGATAAAGAGGGGCTGGTTGTTGAGATGATCCGTATTTTTCTCAGTAACATTAGGTAACTGTGTGCTTCCATTTAGTATGCTGCAAAATGACTATGAATTTCGCCTTCTGTTGAAAATAGCCATATTATGACATGTTATCTATTATGAAAAACTGTTTGCATGGTACCTTTCAATGACTGATGTTTAATTTTATTGAAGGCCCCATCACCCTCATGATATGTTTAAATACATGGAAATGATCATGTCAATGGTGATAAATGAAAGTGATGATATTTCATTTGAACTTCTGAAGCCTCTACTCGATAGCGTCAAAAGGGACAATGAGGTAACAACTTTGTAATTATCTTCATTTTATTATGGTAGTAGATTTATATGATTGTTATTCCCCTATTCCTTTTGCCAAATGTATATTTTGTTGTCTCCTTGATTCAGGTCACTTCCATTATTTCCTTTGAATTGGGGAAAAAGATCTTCAAAAACTGCAGAATCAAAGTCCAGCCTTTTCTGAAAGAAGCGATAAAGGGAATGAATCTGGACCCTGGCAATTACGCTGATATAATTGCTTCCCTGGTGTCAGATCCAGCCGATGCAGAAAACATGGTTTGTTCATCTACATGTATATCTGAATATAAACCTTTACTGTCAATTATCAGCTGCTATCCGTCTAGAGATTCTAAATCAGATAATCTAATTTTGGTTGCCAAACTGAAAATGTGTGATTTACTTACACGATAGTTGATGGTGTCTATGGGATATGAAATAGTCATATTGCTACTATTCCTGGATGCTGAAGTTCTATAAAAACACTTAAAAAACAATATTAAGATTTTTATACTGTTGGCCAAATTTCGTATTTGAATAGATATGAAACAAGTGTTTTTATTTATTGCAACATTATGCATGCACGAAAGAGCCAAAGCAGTTTGCACTCTGATTGCTTCTCTCTTAAGTTGCAATGTTTCTTTCAAAGGTTTCTAGAAGATGCTACAATTACATTCATAATGCTAGTTACTTATGTCTACCTAAGTTTTTATTGGTTGGCTCACATTTGAAATAATGTTCTTAGTTGCATAACTACTGAGTAGGCAGAGACTGTTAGATAATCATAGGAAATTAAGTGAACGAGAATAATTGATTACTTTATGTTTAAATAAATTGAAAACCATCTTGGGAAGCTTTATATACCTGGAGATATACAGCACTTTGGGGATATTATCGTATTATGATACTGAATAAGTGTATAATCCAAAATTACCTGAGTCATCAGAAGTAATGTTTTTGAAAGATGAATATGAAATTATTAAAGTGGATAACAAACTACATTTTCAGATATTATATATTAAGGATACATGGAGGCACTACATGTTAAGCACTTTGTGGTGCCGTCTTCTGCTAGTAATTCTAGTATTGTCGGAGGAAGGTATATAATTGTTGTGCATCCTTGACTGCTTATAATACTATTATAAGGACAAGATTCAAACCAGGACTCAAGATTAGACTTTCATTTCAAACAAGGTATTGGCCCTTAAGTTTGAACTTCATTTCAAACAAGGCCTTAAGATTGGACTTCGTTTTCTTCCCTATATAACTTGCACGTATTCGAGCAGGCAAGTTTGGTTGGGAATAGCTGACTGAGTGCCTTAAATGTGCTCCTCTGGAAGTAAACTCTTTTCCCTTAGTTTTGTAGTAGCTTTTGACTGCTGGTTTATTTGTGTTGTGTGATTCCTGAGACAACTTGAACAGTGGAAGTACACACTTCATTTCTTTGTTGTATATTGTAAAACAATCTGCTAGCACATTAGGTTCGATTTGCTAATTGCTATTGGTGGAGATAGAGGTCTTTAGTGGAACCTTGATCCAAGGTTGGAAAAATTGGAAATAAACTCTGCATTGACTAATGCTACAGTTGTCTAGATGATTATCTTTGTCATGCAAATGAAGATATATATTCCTTGCTAAACTTATACAATCTAATATATAGCATATTTTGGAAGAATTTCGCTCTTATGCACCTAACTGGATTAGTGCTGAGTACTAAAGAAGCCATCAAGGCTGAAAGGATGAGCCTTGCCCTATGTTGTAACCCCTTGCAATGCTAAGTGGCAACTCCTGAGCCTGTATAGCAGCTTTCATGCTCTCTTTCCTTTGGTGAATAAAAGATCATTTCTATTACCAGTCATTTCTTTCTTAATCTTTACTCTAGAAGATGTGTAAAGACATCTAATTTGTATATTTCTATTACTAAACATTAATTAAAAGTAAAAGATCATTTAATAATCAATCTTGAAGGGAAGAATCAATATTGTCCCAACAACTCCTAAGCAATGAAAAGATCCGTGAAATAAAAAATAATGACACAACTCATATATTGGCATCCTATGCTCATTTCCAAGTTTCAGTTTTGTCAGTTCCTATCATCCAGACATTCATACAATTAGATTATTAAAGTATATCACTGGTTAATGCTAAAACATGTTTAGCTTACACGTTAATAGATTACACGTATGGATTCACTGATTCCTAGTATGAATGGGGATAAACAACAATGAATTTTGGGTATGCTTGCTGTCTTCGTATGCAACTTAGCATCCAGTTCAAACTTTAAAAAAATGTATAAAACCCAAACCATGCCAACTTTTGTTTAAATTTTTTCTCAATAAGAATGCTTGGGTTGTATCTAGCCAGCTACACATATGGCTACAGGCTGCATGTATGATTTGAAAAATGCGTTTTATCATTAAAAGCCATACTAGCCATCACTTATGTAGTTCGTGTTTGTTTTGGCTTAAGCTTTTTCTATATCAAGGTGAAAACCAACAAGAATAACTAAACTCTAACTCAAGTTCGAGCTCTGTATATTAATAAAACTTGAATCACTTATAATCAACATGGTTTGATTGTACTCGAGGTAACACATGATAAGATCAAACATGTGATACGATTTCTCTTGAAATTGATATTTGTTAATTATTATTCAACACTGGGCTTGGTGATGTTTCAATGAACAATATATTACAAACATTTGAAGGAAAAAAAATGTTATCAGTTCTTGTGTAACTTGTGTAATTTAAATGCCTCTCCAATATATCTTTTAGTTAGCTATAAACTTTTATAGTTATAATCAAGACACACAAACCTATACAAGTAATATTCACCAACTACATGAAACACACTTTTTGTTACGGTATAGCTTGTTAGACTTTCTAATATGATTTAGCTAGCATAAGATAGTTGTGGGCATTTGAGTTTAATAAATGACATTACTAAATAAGGCTTTTCACTAATTACACTCCATGTAAAGGTACCCCTCATATTGGGTCATTCTCCGTGGCTGATATGGCACGGGCGCCCATAGCCCCACCATCAGTCCATATGCTTTTTGTAATACCTTTCAACACCTTGATGTTGTGTAAATGAGCTAGGAAACACACACACACACATAGGAATAGTCCATATAGTAAGTTTTCATTTAGATTCAATGCCCAAATGCACATCCATTTTAAGGTGGATCAAGCCTAAGGGTAGGCAAATTATATTAGAGCATATTTGGATTTGGAGTGGGCTTGGCTCTATCTCTCAAGTTGATTCAAAAATAAGAAACTTAACACTTTTATTCTCTCTTAGGCACTTACCCAATGCAATTACGAGATTGAATTTACGTATTTCCCGGAGAGATAGGTTATTATAATGAAGCATAGGTTACGAATGATAGAAGGATAGAGCCTATTATCTCTACACAAAAACAAGGAAATCAATTAGAGAGTTATTTAAAAACGAAAAAGCTATAGCCGGAAAGAGGGCTTCTCACCACCTCAAGCACCATGCTTAGCCAAAAAATTAGCTATATCGGCTAAGTTTACTTTGGAGTGTTTTTTTATTTTTATTATGCAACATCATAATTCCTTATAAAATATACCAATCAATTTTCATATAAAACATCACATCAAACAACTATATCACCCAAAAACTAAAATACAAAACACGAAAACAAACGCAATGTAAAACAAACCTGTTGTTAGCACTTATAGGTGTGTTGTGGGAAGAAAATAGTGAGCATATAAAAATGGAGTGCTGTAGACTATTTATATCAAAATTGAATATCCACCAAACTGAAACACCTTGGATTCAGCCCAATGCACTTTTGGACCCGCCCAACAACGATTATAAGTAGCGGCGCTAATTGTCCAATTTGTAGGCAAAAGGCTTGAATGATGGCTAACTGCATCATTTGAGTAGGCAATACCAATGGAATTGGAGAGAATAAAGAGGATGTGCCTACAATGATCTCTAATTACCACATCACTACATGCTTGCCTGGCCTTGCAAAAGTTGATCTGTTCGTACATATTTCCCTCCCACCTATATTGGGATCCAGCTGAGGTTTTGCCCTAGAAATAAGAAGATTCTCAGAGATCTACTAAAGTTTATTGATCATAAAAGCTAGAAGGGATATCCATGGTTGGAAACTTTGCTTTGCACCAAACCTCAACTACAAGTCGAGAATGGAAAATAACCCAATATGCCAAGAAAATTTCATTGTTAGAAGCTATTCACAACTTTCTATGAATCACCTTCCGGAGTCGGCTCCAAACCTCTTGGTGCCTCCATTGAATAAAAAGTTCAAGGGTTGATAAAGGTCAAACCCGCAAAATTCCGTAAAGGTGTAAGAAGCAAACCCATATAGTAGACACTAAAGAGCAATGCATTGAGAACTCGAACTTTGAATTCCTAATTTGAATTTGATTAATTGGTTTACTAGTTGACAAGGAAATTTTATGTAGGTAAGTGAATGGATTAGCCTATAGTGAGGAAGTGGTTTATTGCTATTGCTAGACTAAGTTGATTGTAGAAACGTAAATTTAATTAATTGCTTCGTTAGTAAAGAACGGGGGAGAATCAACTCTATAGATTGAGCTTGCAACAAAGGTAATTAATTACTTTTTCTATAAAGCAAGCTTGCATCTTTTTAATTTCATCAACCTTCCTTTTCAATAATGAGAAACAATTTGGACGATCCAACGTTTTTAAGAGACTAAAGATAATGAAGAGAACATAGAAAGAATACGAGAGAATAGAAAGGAAGGAAGAAGCCAGAGCAAATAGATAAATCAACGTTTTCTCTAGGTGCCATGCTTAACGAAGTGGTTTGTCCCTGCCTTTGTGCTTCTAGAAATATGCTGGAAACTAATCCAACTTAGTAGTTATATACCCATTGAATGTGAAAAACAACCTTATCTGCATGAGTTAATAGATTGACAATCCGATAAAAACAGTGTTGTTTATCAATTTTAACATTCCTTCTCAATGATAAGAAACAATGATAAAGAACCATGTTAACCAGTATGATAACTGAATTCTGCATCGTATTCACTGTGAATATACTTGGGAAGATGAATACTATCCAACATGATTATCTTAAATTTTGAAATTGTGATCAGCTAGGGTGTTCAATTTGTCAATTTCTTGATTAAATTACTTTAATATAGATATCATACACCTATGCCTAGATTTTATTCTTGTAGTATGTGTTCTTCTAAGCATAGTTACTAAATGATTGTTTCTGCACTATCTTTGGGTTTTCAACCAGGTGGCCGAGGTGGCCGATGCAGTTCCGCAGGCTGCTGATGACAATGAATTGAAGTTAGATCTTGTCCCTAAGACAGAAAATGAAGACGATACTCGGGCCAGTGCTGAGGATGGAACTGAAGTGGTTGGGGACATCTCACAGGAGACATTGGAAGGTTCCCAACAACCTGTGAAATCAGGAATTGATCTAGGTGGTCCTCGAAGGAGAAGGGGTAGAAAACCTAACACTAAGATAAGGCCAGAAGAAGGTTATCAGCATCCCTGGTCTCTTGGAGGCAAGAATTCTACTGAAGCAAATTCCAACAGTTATAATCAAATAAAAAAAGATTTGGCTTCGCCATCAGAAATTGTAGACAAAAATGTGCAAGGTGAATGTTCAAAGAAAAGTGATTCTGCTAAAGTAGTTCGTCATGGCAAGCGAGGTCGGCCAAGAAAGAAAGAGAACATCATTAATGAGTTGAATGATCAGGAAAAGCCTAAGGAGAAACAAATGGAACCTGAAAAAATCAAGTCTACTAAGAAACAGAAGGACAAGGTAAATCCTGTTAAATGTTGTATAAATTCTATATATCCTTTGATATGGCTAATTAACTATTGTCATGAACATTCTTCCCCTCTCAGAAATCTAAAACGCCCCGTGGTCTGTATGGAGAGAAATTGATTAATCAAAGGATACAGGTTTGGTGGCCGATGGATGAAACGTAAGACATACATTTTTGAGACTCTACATTGTTGTTAATTAATGATCAGAGCATCATATATCCACATATTACACCTGATAATTATAATGAATTGCCTGAAACAGTTTTGCTTTAGGACTGAGCTGTTTTAGCTCTGTTGCTTCCAGCATAACAGAAGGAAGGAATATTTTGTGGAAATATTTTTGTTTCATGTAAAAGATTCAATGCGAATCCATCACTATTTGCTTTCTCTTGTTTCCAATTTATGATACAGTGGCTTTAAAGGCCAGTAGGGTACTCTGTTAAGAAATGAAAGAATAACCTTTTGTTGCTTGCTTTAGAAATTGGTATTTTCATTCATTGGATTGAGATGTTCACTAGAAGCACTTGGTACACATTACAAATATTGAACCATTTGTATAACTTCCTACCAACGCCATCTTTAGAAATGTGGAATGAACACAACAATGGTAATTTCCATCTTATGTCAGAAGCATTCCTGGACCTGCCTTTTATCTGTGTTATTTTGATGGTACTTATCAAATTATGTTAAGTGTGGTACCTATTAATTCACAAAATGTAGATCAACATGGCTTATACCCTCACTAGCTATAGAAATTAGACTTACTCTATGTAGAAAGCTGAAAATCTTTTGTTGAACTATTGCACTCTACCACTAGGTAAACTGTGCCATGGAATACTATCAAAGTCAGATTATTAAACTATGTTTATCGATTCAATGATAGTATGACCTCTGGCAGGATGTGTGTGTCATTTTCCTCTTATCATATGTGGTTTCAATGGCTTCTAACTCTAGTTCTTTCATTTTGCGACTTAATGTTATACCTCGTACATTGTAAAAGTGTTTTAGATATGGGAAAATGATTTGTTTTTTTTTAATGTTCATGGTTTTGTATTTGCAGCTACTATACGGGCACTGTGACAGCATTTGATCCTGAGACGAAGATGCACACAGTAATAGCTTTGCTTATTTTCCTCTTGTGGCATTTTTTCTCATATGAACATACCTTGCGTGTTACTTGCTTTGGTGTTATATATTAGCATTAATTTAGATTTTGAACCGATGAATATGCCAACTCATTTGCATCTCTCATTTGTCTCTAAAGTTGATGTTTGAAAGAATTACTATAGCAAACTAGTTACCTAGGAAGAATTTACCGCCTTCAACTGTATCTCTGATTCATGGAAATGGGTTACCATTTCATATTTTCCTTTTGACGCAGATCCTGTATGATGATGATGAAACAGAGATCTTGAAGCTGAAAAAGGAAAAATGGGCACTGTTTTCTGATGAGCATCTGCACCAAGTAAGCTCTTTGGTACTTTCTTACAACCCGATAGCCAACTGCTTTTTTGACGATACGGTTGTAGTGCTTTTTCTTAATGCACATCACTTTGCTTATTATCTTCTGATGAATTGTAATTGTTTTGATGAAATCCTCTCAGAGAGAAGAAGTTATACATCCATCTCCTGCTGTGGAGCCTACTGAGTAAGTTGAAGTAAAAGAAACTTCATATATTTGTTGTGAATCTCACCTGATTTACTGTCGTGCTAGTTGCTCCCGCCCTGATTTTTATCAGAAGAACTCTATAAAGCTTTCTTCCTCCATCTTGGATTTAAAAATTTTCTTTACAAGTGTTAAAGCCCCCATAGATTTGTCTTCATTTAGGAAAAAATTGTTTAGTCAATACTGAAAAACATAAGGGTCATGTTTAAATTTTATCTGACCACTCTCATAAAATTGAGCTGGATTTTTGTTCAGTTGATTGTCTTATTCCCTTTATGCTTCAGTTGATTTTTCTGAAACTCATCTTCACAAACGCTCAGTAGAGGCTTTTGCTTTATGTAATAGCATCTCTTTGTCCAATTTGTGCAGGACTGCTGAAAAGAGCAGCAAAGTGAAAGCTGGAAGATCTAAAAAACAAATTGCCTCATCCTCAAAAAAGTTTGTTTACACTTTTATCTTAAACATCTTTGAATATTATTTGTATAGACAAATCCAAAACTCCAATAATCTTGCATCCAATTGTTTTCAGTGTCTGGGTGCCCACTAATGCCTATAAGGTTTTCTTTCAGATCCAAAGGGGAAAACACCAGCCTCGTAGCTGGAGGAAATTCTGAATCTGACGGACAAAATGTTAAGACACCTGAAAAAATCGTCTCTCAAAAGGATGTTGAAGGAACTCCAGCAGGCAAGGACAATTCCAAACATTGATGAAGGTTCGCTACATTTGTCAATGGATGATCAGGGGGTGAATGGACTGCAGATTGATCTGGACTTGATTGCCTAATAATCTGAGTTTTGCCTAAGGAGCTGGGGAGAGGCCATGTACACTGGTAACATGTAACCAGATCAAACCTATGGGACGAAATTCAAAATGTTGTAGTTTATGATCCTCTAGTATTGGCTATATATATATTTATCTATGGTCCTTGGGAGTTTGCAGACATATTAGCATATATATATTTGTTGTTGTGGTTGTATGCTATGAAGCCTTGGTACATGGATTTTATAGACTTCTAAATTGGGGAATCGTCTGTAGTATAGCGTTCAATTTTGGGCTGGCTGTTTGAGTACATATGTGGATGCATTACTTTGTTAGCATATATGCCTCTGCATCATTTGCATGTGTAATAACACGATACCATTTGTTTCGGTCTGTTCTCTCTCGATAACTAACCTTCATTCATGCACATCAACTGTTTTGAGGACGTAGCTGACTGAAAATGGCCGAGGTTGGTTGTGTTTCTGCATTGCGTTTCTTGTTTCCCTTTTTGGAACTAATTATATCTGTATTGTTTTGTGAAGTCTGGATTGTCATATTGGGCAAAGTTGATCTACATTCATCACTTTTTTCAGGTATGCCAAATATCTTTACATAAATATCTTGTGTATTTGTATGCATTTATTTCATTTTAGGCCAATAGGACTGTTTGGTTTGTATTTGTGTTACGTGTGGTGCTATGTAAATAATGTTTTAATTAGGAATTGTAGGGAGGGATTGTAAATTGCATTTTGCATAAATAAGATTGGAAATAGCTAAAGAGGTTAAACAATACATGTAGATATTCTGTTTGGTTTTAATTGTCCCATCTGTGCAACTGACTGCTTACCACAGGCCATGTACTGTTTGGTTTGGGAAAAGATTATTTAGATTTTGGTTTCACACACCCATATATCTCTCTCTATGATGAATCTATCTATTTACATTTTGTATGTGCATTTTGAAAAATGTTAATTTTTATTTTATTTTTATATCTATATAGTACAATAGATGAGTAGATGAATTATTTTAACATTGAATATAATGTATTCTCTCCGTCCCGGTGTCTCTCCGTTCCGGTGCAAGGTTGCCGTTTACTTTTTGCACGTAGATTTTTAAATATTAGTATTATAATAGGTTATAGTGAAAATGAAAAAAATGCCTGTGTAATATAAAAGTAACGATTTGTATAATATAGTGTAAGTTGGAAGGGTATTTATTATGTTAGGTAGATAGTACAAATACTAAATTATGAAATGACAACCTTGTTTTGGGACGGACGAAAATAAAAAATAACAATCTTTCAATGGGACGGAGGGAGTATTTATTTTGTAATTTAGTAAAAATAAGTTTGTGGTATTATTGTAATAATAATAATTAATGTAAAGGCATTAGTAGAGAGCAAGATCGAAAAGACCATAGGGTTTGGATTAAAAAGGTTCAAGTCTTGGTAATAGCTCTATATCGACGATGGGATGACTTAAGTTTGCTTTACTTTATGTATTTGGTTTTCTATTATGATACGATTTTGGAACTGAACATGACATTTAGGTTTTGGGTGTGGGTATTTTAGTGTTAGTAAGGTGCAGTAAAAGTTTTTAAGAAAACTATTTAGGGCTTGAAGAATATTATTCTTAATTTGAAAATAAAACATCAGGTGATATTGTTGATTTTATTTGATTGTTCTTTAGACAAACAATTGATATCATTTGATTGTTTCTATTGTTTTTATCATGTTTAATTTAGATGCATTTTCGAAAGTCGGGCTAACATAAGATGAATTTTCACAAACACTGTATTTTAAAGACAATTTTTTTGAACGATTGTCAAACATTAAATATGAAATATTGGTTTATGACTACACAACTTATTTTTTTTAATTGGTTAGCCAAATTATAAAGTTGACAAATGCGCACTATTTGAGTCATTCCATGAAAGGTAGAAAATATTTAATTTGAAGTTCGCGCTCCTTTCTCCGGCCTATAAACTTAATGACAACTATGTAATTGTCTAGAGATATTAAGGATAATCTTCAAGTACAGACTGACAGACACTCATACCAAAATTTGAGTTCGACACCACAAGCAAGTTTTATTTATGATCAAACAATATGATTAGAGTTTCGACAATAGAGCTGTCTCACAACGGATTTAAGAATTCTCGTGGATGAGCCGGTGCTAGGTCATTCCACTTAAGAATGCAATGTCTCCCCGAAATTCCCATGGCCCGGCCCGGCCCATGATCTTTGACATCAATTCTTTAATACTATTGGATCTAAGAATTAAATCTATGAGTAAAAATTATTTTTGGTCCCATTCAATATCATAATTATCAATTTTGGTCTCATTAAAAAAAATTATCAATTTTGGTCCCACTCAAATGAAAATTTATCAATTTTAGTCCCAAGATGGTTGACTGGGACTGAATAAGGCCGTGTTGGCTTGAACACGACCGTGTTGGATGACTAAGAAGGTGACTGAGTGTCCCAGGCAGCCAACACGGCCGTGTTGATTACCTCGCACTTCTGAACACAATCGTGTTCCTACCCGTGTTCTGAATACAGCCATGTTCCTGTCTATGTTCTCAACCCAACCATGTTTTAGGCCATGTTATGTTTTAGGCCATGTTCACGACCATTTTTTCAATATAATTATATTGTAGGTCATATATATATTACTATTATTTTCATTTTTTTGTTAAAATTATTTGATATTTATATATAAGTATATTTATAATTCAACAAAAATATTTTTTACAATTATTTCATAATATAAAAAATAACAATTTTTAATATTTTAAAAATATATAAAAATAATAATATATTAATATATATTTTTAATAATCTATCATTACATATATTTTAAAAAATTTATAGTAAAAATTTTAAAATATTATTTTAAAGTAATTATTTCTATAAATTATAAATTAAATTTATTATTCAAAATAATATTTTAAAATAATACTCCCTTCGGGTCACCGTAGACACGAGAATTTAGAATAAATATAACTAGTAGATAATTAAGAATGTATTAGTGAAAATAATTATCATATAATATAAATAATTATAAATTAAGATTAAGATAAATTATTAATTTAATTAAAATTTAAAAAAATTAAAATTAAAAAATAGTGTAATTATTTTCCAAAAAATAAAAATGACATGGGATGTGGGACGGACAGAAACGGCAATGTGGATATGGTAAGTGGGACGGAGAGAGTATTATTAAAAATATATATTAATATATTATTATTTTTATATATTTTTAAAATATTAAAAATTGATTATTTTTTATATTATAAAATAATTATAAAAAATATTTTTGTTGAATTATAAATATATATATCAAATAATTTTAATCAAAATTGAAAATAATAATAAATATGACCTACAATATGATTATATTGAAAATATGGTGGTGAACATGACCCTGTGTTGAGAACATGGGTAGGAACATGGTCTACAACATGGTTGTGTTGAGAACATGGGCAAAAACATGGTTGTGTTTAGAATATGGCAGGAACACGGCCGTGTTCAGAAGTGCAGGGTAATCAACACGGCCGTGTTGGCTGCTTGGGACGCCCAGTCACCTTCTAAGTCATCCAACACGGCCGTGTTTAGTCCCAGTCAACCACATTTGGACTAAAATTGATAAATTTTCATTTGAGTGAGACCAAAATTGATAATTATAATATTGAATGAGACCAAAAATGATTTTTGCTCTAAATCTATATTGTTCATTCGTTTTAATCTTAAATATATATACACTTGTGTGCTACGCCGTTCTATTTTTCCTTTTTCATAAATCAATTTAGCAAACTTTTTGTTTGCTTATCAAGGATTTTCGGATTTAATTTTGTGAGAGGGAGGCAAGAGCCGTGACTGTTTGGTGGAATCAGTCCCCTAACATAATAAATTATTTGTAAGAGTTTGAGCTTGATTTTTTTTGTATTTATATAATTTTAAGGACTAAACTAAATAATCTCGTTGTTTTCAATTATTTAAGTGGTGAGTTTGATTTTTCGATATTTTTAAATTATATATATATATATATTTATTTTTATCAATATCAAGTTTTAATAGGAAAACAAAAGTTTTTGGTCCATATTTCATTAGAGAATTCATAGGATATATATACTCATTATCCAATGGACCCAGTTTTTTTAAATCGACTGAACTTTTAAATTGATAAGTTATCTAATTTGATATATATATTTTACAGCCAATTTTCAAAACATTGATTATTATTTATGCATTGATATGTGGAATCAAATTTTACCACAAACTGTATATGACTTGAAAATGACAAGAAATGCCCTCGTCCATGCAACTAATGACTCGTCCCTTGTTAAGTTATAATACTAATATTATATATATATATATATATATACATATGGATTCGAGCGGGCAATGGGTCGATTCGTGTCGGGTTCGTATCGAGTTGAATACTTTGAACGGGTTAAATTACTCAACCATAATCCGATCCGTTTATTATCGTGTCGGGTTCGGGTTGACTCGTGTTGACCCGTACATAATTAAGTCGTATTTCTTGATTTAAATTAAATAATTTTTTGTTGGGTTGTCGTTTAGTTTTTATTGGTTTGAGCGTAAATTATGTTGGAATTATTTAAAATTGAACTTAGTTTAAATTAATTTACGAGGAAATTATTAAATTATGATTATTTTACATATATAATGAATATATTAATCAATATTAATATATTATAATCAGGTTGTCGTGTCGGGTTCGAGTTGAGAGCCTAAACTCTAACCCGACCCTTTTACTATCATGTCGGGTTCGTGTCAACCCGTATACATAATCGGGTTGAAATCTTTGACCCAAACCCAATTATTTCGTGTTGGATTTTTGTGTCGGGTCAATTTTTGCCAACTCTAATATGAATATATATATATATATATATATAAAACAAAAGCAAGAGGGTCTCTAACTGTACACGTAACTCCAAATCACAATTAATCAAACTTAAATAAATCCAACGTTGTTTGACAAAATTTAGGTTCATTCACACAAAAAATGTACGAATCCCATAAACTAATCCACGTAGTACCTCAAACAAATGTTGTTTATGAGTGTATTATTCTTATTCCAATTATATATCATTATTATTATGAAAAAAAAAAAAAAAAAGAGGATTTCATTAATCAATAAATTATATGACTAATCAATAATTTGAAGTATGATAATTTATTTATTTTTCAATAATTTGAATAGATTCTTGGTAAAGTGTCATAAAAATTCCATCACTAATGAATTCACTATAGGATCCGTACGTATTGTTTTCAT